TTCAGGGGGTAAATGGAAATGTTCTTGAAGCCAATTTGATTGATCTTTTAGAAAAAGTACTTTGGTAGGCAATTTTTAATATAATTAATTTGAGAGGATTAGAAACTTAGAATACATCATCTGAAATAAACTATAGACTTACCGGTAAAGTAATCATTATGAAATGCTTTGCTGTACCGAAAACTCAACTTGCCAAATTTTGGACCGAGTATCTTCAAAGCTACAGTGCAAGCAGCTGCCCTGAATAAAAAGACATAGTGGATTTTATCAGGTACTGTAACTGAAACGATCAATTGCAACTTTAATAAAAACAGAAATATTTCCTGACTACTCACAATTCTCTGTTGTCAGGAGTGGTGGATCTGGTCAGTGTTTTCATCTGGGAGTAGCAGAAACTAGCCACTTGTAAGTTGGTTTCTGTCAGCATTGATTCAGCTATCATTGAAACAAGAGCCAAAGGTGGTCTTGTTTCAAATACAACCAAACAAGCATGCATTCGGACTTCAGAATGCAAGCTACGGTCCTTGAGGATCTTCTGTACAATGTCTTGTACCTGGAATTTGGCAAATTATAAGTGAGAAATTGATTACTAGAAGAATTTACTATGTTTTTAAACAAATGAATCAGGGTAACTATTTGAAATCGAAGAGACTGCACTATAGATCATAATGCAAACTATATAATATATTTTATGTTCCACACATTTGTTTACTGCATGCCATATTTCAGGTTTACTAATTGTACCAAAGGATTCCAAATTTTGCAGGTTGGTTTGATGGTCAGGTATTTAGAGACAGTTCAATACTTTAAAGGTTTGTTACATATTCAAGTAGTAGAGGACATTGCAGTAAGTATTAATTGATTTTGCTTGCTTAGTAAAATTCAAATAAATGTGCCACACATGTTTAATATTAATTATGTTTAAGAAATTATTTTGTCATTTCATAAATCCCTGTATAAATTAAGTGGTGGGTAGTGTAGGAAACTTTCTATATTATTAAAACAGTAGAACAGGACAGACTAAAAAAACATTATGGTTAGATTCTGAAAAAAATTAAATACTCTATAATTATTATTCAAAACTGTAAGTTTGATTAGTGCTGTAACTGGCATCGCTTTATTAAATACAGTGATGTTACAATAGTGAATGAGTAAATATATTTCAACATAAAAAAAGCTGGGTTAGTGAAATCCAGAAGAATTCTCTCACACTCCTGGGATTTTTGATGGCAATGTTCCTGAGAGCCAGAACAGCTGCATTTTGCACTCTAAGAGGAATCTCTGAAACACTAGATGCAAATCCTGGCAGGAATTTCATAATAGACTTGATGTACTCAGGCTGTCCTGCGTTCCCAATAGCCTTCAGGGCCAGAATGATCTGCACTTCGTCAGCTTTGCTAGAGGCCTCTGCAGCAAGATCACGTAGCGGCTGTGGAGATCAGAACAGGATAGATTCCCAAGAATGCTAACATTTATTTGTCTTTAAATTGTATCATCTGTCACTTAATTATTTATCAGAAAGTCAGAAGAGTGCAAAACTACATTTTAGATAGTGAAATAACTGGTGTTCCTTCAACCTAGTTTCCTGAGGTGAGCATTTATCATGAACTGCCAAATGATTTACCTAAATACATTAAAATTAACTAGAAATAACCACACCCAATAATTAAATGTACTTAATGGATTATGGAGTGTTTACTCAACTAGATGAAAAAAAA